GGGGGGGGGGCTTGGCAAGGTGGGACAAAGGAGAAATGACTTTGGTGCCAGGATGAGAAGGGATGCCCAGAAAGGGAATGTGGGTATACACCATTATTGCTTCCTCCTAGGGCAAAGAGTCAGGGAAGGGGGCAGGAGGATGCTGGGGGGATGCCTAGGATGGGGGCTCTGGGTCTGGCCCCACCCTACCCAAGGTGCAGGTGGGAGCCACGGCAACCCTCTCCTATGGCCGTGAGAATCATTAAGGCAGAAACAAGAGGAGAAGCAGCTGGAAGAAGCGGGTGCAGCTTGGAGCTGTCCCCCACAAATGGAGAAAATTCAAACAGAACCCAAAGTGGAAGGGGAAGGGGGTAGCAAGTGGAGGGAGGATCAGGCCCTCCTCAAATCTCAGACCCCAGGCTGGTGGTGCAAATGTCCCTCTAACACCCTCCCCTCCCAGCATCCTAAGTTGTACAGCGTCCCCATGCCTGTCCCAGAGTAAGTATTGCCAGGTTTGTGCAAAATGAGGTGGAAGACTTGGGGTGGGACAGTGAGCCTGAGAGGGGCTGGAGCTGGGGTCTCTCACAGCGACCCCCCCCCACCAGGCCCCTGCCCAGAATGGCTATTCCCTGGCTGGATTCTAGAAACCCTCCAATTTTAGGAAGAGCCTGGAAGGAGACCTTAAGCCTGCTTGGGCTCAGATGGGGAGCCCAAAGAGGCTGGAAGACTGAGCCTGGGACCTGGGAGGGGTGCAGGTGGGGTTGGAGGTGGGTGACGGGAGCCAGGAACAGGAGCATCTACAGTTGCTGTGTTTCATCCTGTTTTTTTTTTCTTTTTTTTGTTTTTTTTTCTAAAAATGTAACAATGAAAATTCCAAAAATAAAACCCCTTCCAGGACCTCAGCCCTTCCTTCCCCAGGCCCCACCTCCAAAAAGTGGCCCCGTGGGTGGGGGAAAAAGGGAAAAAAAGAAAAGAGAAAAAAAGCCACTTTTCTGTTTTCTTTTTTCTCAGGAGGCCCAAGAGTCTTTGAGGCAGTGAAGGAGGCGGTTGGGGGACGATGGTGGTGAGAGGAGGCAGGAGGGGGAAAGGGGTGTAGAGGCTGGGGCTCAGATAGGGCCTGCAGCAGACCCCCACCCACCAGGGGCTGGGAGTGTGGGTGGGTCCTCGCCCAACGTCCCTGTGCAGGCACAGCACACCCTCTTGGCAGCTTGATGCTCTTTCTGGGCCCCCACCTCTGCTGCCACGGAGGGGAGGCCCAGGAGGCCCGGGGCCTCCTCTGGAGTGGATGGGGTCCTCAAGGCAGGCAGAGCGGGGCTCTCAGGAGACAGGACATGGGGGCTGCTGTAGCCCACGGCATCCATCAATGCATCTGGGGATGTGGACTTGTCCTGGCCCACAGCCACACTGTCTGCTTGCTGTGTCAAGAACATTTCCTCTACCTCCACCTCTGCAGACACATCTTGGCCATCGACCTCCAACAGTTCCTCAGCTGCGGATACATCCTGGGCCACGAATAATTCCTGCACCTCAATTGCACCCAGGGCAGCGGAGGACGCCTCCTCCTCCTCTTCCTCATCTAGCGTCAGCTCAAACTGGAACTTATCAGGTGGGGTTGGGTGGCCTGGCCCCTCAGGCTCCTCCTCGGGAGGTGGCGACGGGCTCTGCCGAATGGCGCTGTAGTACCAGTCCCGGTTATCTTCCAATGTGTCTAGGATCTCCCGGGCGTCTGGGTGGACCAAGTCAGCCCATGTCTCCCACAGTGGGTGCACAATATAGTCGATGAAACCCACCTGGGGGAGGGAGAAGGCATAATTAACCAGTGGCCACAGTGGTACAGATGGCACAGCCATACTGAGGGATCGAATAAAATTTAAAAGATGCTGATACCATTGGACCCAGTGATCTTGCTTTTTCAGATCCACCCTGGAAAAGTTCTTGCATAAGTAACCAAAAAAAATCATATGAGATATAAATAAAAACTGGAAACACCTCTATACATACATCAGTTGGGGATTAGTGTGTGTGTTTTTTCAATGTGGTACCCACAGATATTAATAATGGCATTTTTTGTAACAAAGAGAAACTAGAAATAACTTCATGGCAGGCTAAGAGCCTAATATCATCTTTCCTACTTTTTATTGACAGAATCTTGATTTTTTTTCTTGGGGGACACAATGCTTCCAGCTGAAAACTATATTTCCCAGTCTCCCTTGCAAAGAGAGGGTGGCCATGAGGCCACCTGTAGATGGAAGATGCTGGGCGCTGCCTCAGCTGGCAGAGGGCTTTCTCCCCTGGAATGTAGCCAGAATGGTTGGGGCTTTGACAGCATCTGTGACCATGAGAGGCATCTCTGGGGATAGAAACCCCATTCTTTTGATGGTGGAAGAGAAACACTGAAAGCTCCAGTATCTGCCAACTTTGTGGAGCCATAGAGAGCCAAATTCCCTTTCTCCAGACTTTTCTTGTATAAAAGAAAAAAAAAAGCTTCATTTTGTTTCAGTCACTGTGAATTTCTAACTCCTAAACACTTAAATGTTTATCAACAGGGGAATGACTACACAAATCATTGTCTATACATCTATGGGAATACTATACAGTAGTGGAAAAGGGTGGGTTCAATCTGTTTGCAATAACTTGGACATATTTCCAAGTCATTGTTGAGAAGAAAAGGCAAGCTGTATAAAATGGTTATATATTAATACAATTTATCTTTTTAAAAAAGCTGAACTGATGAACCATTGCTATGAAGTTGCCTATGACAATAACTACATAGTAAAACTATGAAACTGGTTTTCATCAGGGGTGGGGGTGATTTTCAGGCCCAGGAGACATTTGGAAGTGTCTGGAGACATTTTTGGTTGTTATGCCTGGAAGGGGAGGGTGCTCCTGGCATCTAGTGGGTGGAGGCCAAGGATGCTGCTCAATACCATAAGATGCACAGGACAGCCCCCACCACAGAGAATGATCTGGCCCCAACTATCAACAGAGCCAAGGCTGGGTAATCCTGGTCTAGAAGAGCATACACACTGAACTGGGAAAGGTGAGTCTCACTGGGAGAAGACTAGAAGTGGGGAGGGTAAGAAACTCTTACATTCACACTTCAGTGTTGAGTCTTTTACGAGATGGCATTCCTGTCCCTGTTGTTAAATTAATCAGGCATGCGATGAAAACAAGTCAATTCACCTCAATTCAAAATCCTCTAAAAATCAGGGACCATATCACTGGCCAGCTGAGGATATCAGAAACAGATTGACTCAACATAAGGTCTGTAACTAAGGGCCAGCTAAGTATTATTATTGATACTGTGGCAGTTGCTGCAAATGAGTTAGAACTGTCTGAACTAGGTTTGTGTGCCAGAAGCTCAGTGTGGTTGTTTTGTGGAGAAGAAAATGTTGCATATTTCCCATCAAGATAGAAAAGAAAAAAACAAAGTAAGACTTGATGTTGTGGAGGGGCAGGTCAGGACCTCTGGGCCTGAAAGCTCTAGGCCAGGTTGGGGTGGGGGGCTGGTGCCCTGCAACTGTACCTGAGACTTTTCCACCGAGGCTGTGTGCTTGTCACACATGGGGCTGATCTCCATACCACGCTCTCGTTCACGGTCGCCCTGCTGGAAGAACTCAGCCATGATACGGTCTGTCCACTGGCGGTACAGCTCCAGCGGCTTGGTGGGGTTGCTGAGGTCCGCACAGTGCACCATGTTCCTCAGGACCTGCACAGGGCACAGGACCTTCAGAGCCATGCTCCTCCTATCTGAGTCTGAGGCCTCAGGCTTCCTTACCTTCCCCCCATTGGGGGGAGAGTGGGGAGAAGGGGTAGGGGGGAGATGAAGAGAGACAGAGAAATAAAGAGGGAGATGAGTGGGGGAGAGGAGGGAGGAGATAAGAAGGGGTTGATGGAGGAAAGGGCAGAGGGACAGAAGAAAAAAAGGTGGGGAGAGAGGTGTGTGGGAGATAAAGAGAGGTGGAGGAATGAGAGAGAGAGAGAGAGAGAGAGAGAGAGAGAGAAGGGGAAGGTGGGGGAGAGGAGAAGATGGTGTGGAAGAGGAAGGGAGAGACAGGGAGGGGTTATGAAGGGAAGAAAGGGGAGATGGTAGGAGTGAGGGGAGATGGGAAGGAGAGGTGGGGGTTGGAAGGGGAAGATGGAAGGGGGAGAGAGAAAAACAGGCATGAAGATAGGCAAGAAGGGAACTGAAGGCTGAGAGAGAGGCAGCAACCCAGATCTGAATGGTGGAGGAGAGGAGAAGGGACCAGTTTTTTTACACAATGTGTGAAGGGGGCACCTGGATGCGGTCAGAGTAGTTGTCCAGAAGAAGGACCCCTGAGCTGGTCACTTTCTTCGTTTCTACCATGGTCTTCAGGTCAGCTAGGAGGGTCATATGCTTGGACATGTCCGTGGCCAGCACCTGTGGGCAAGGGGACTGTCACAGGGGCCACTGAAGCTCTGCCACCAGACCGCTGCATGGACCGGAGCTTCTCGAGCTTTTACTGGGTACAACCCATCCCTACAAGTCCTGCTAAAAGATGTTTCTTCCCCCATGGGCCTTTCCATCTCAAACTCGGACCTTCCCAAAGTGCCACCCATGAAAGTTGACCTTTCCTCTTCTGTCCCCGCCCAGCCCACCATGTCGATGACCATCTTGCGCAGGCTCTGCCGCTGGCGTTTGCTGAGGTTCTGGAAGATGTCACAGTTGTCCTCCTGCAGCAGCTTGAAACCCACGGCCAGGTGGTGGTTCTCCAGCACCGACTCGTCATTGTACATGAGCGCCAGCTCTGAATCTGTGGCCCAGGCGGGCGGGAGGTCAGGGGAGGGAGGGCACACACACACCCTCCCCCCCTCCCCGCCCC